CTTTCAGCCTTTCTTACCTTGGCCATGTCTCTGAGTATTGCACACCTTGTGCTTTTGGGCACTCCAGTGATGTTGCAGCTCTGAAATATGGCCAAACTGGTGGCAAGTGGCATCGTGGCAGCTGCACGCTTGACTTTTCTCAGTTCATGGGCAGTTATTTTGCGCCTTGGTTTTTCCACACGCTTCTTGCGACCCTGTTGACTATTTTGAATGAAACGCTTGATTGTTCGATGATCACGCTTCAGAAGCTTTGCAATTTTAAGAGTGCTGCATCCCTCTGCAAGATATCTCACTATTTTTGACTTTTCTGAGCCTGTCAAGTCCTTCTTTTGACCCATTTTGCCAAAGGAAAGGAAGTTGCCTAATAATTATGCACACCTGATATAGGGTGTTGATGTCATTAGACCACACCCCTTCTCATTACAGAGATGCACATCACCTAATATGCTTAATTGGTAGTAGGCTTTCGAGCCTATACAGCTTGGAGTAAGACAATATGCATAAAGAGGATGATGTGGTCAAAATACTCATTCGCCTAATAATTCTGCACTCCCTGTATGTATGGGTTTGGTGGAATAATACAGTGATATTATGTACCAAATGTCCAGAAATTTTAAACTCAATCCATATTTGGGATGCTTATAAAACTAGGCACTCCCTCATCACTTTGACCTTGATCATGAGAACTTTATTAAGAAACTGAGCTTTTCCTCATGGAGTTATAGCTTGTTAATTTTGTGGAATTAAATATGCAGGTCTACACAGATTAGGTCAACTTTACCCAGACAATAAGTTTATAACTTTTCCCTGAACTTCAGGCTGAGTCATACTTAACCCGGTGGATTACTTTGGATACATCCAACTATGGGACTTTACTTCCAAAGGAGATATTAAAAGAGAAGCTACAACATTCACAACATGCTTTGAAATACTCTGCTTTACAGAAACCATTCAAAAAGGCTTAATCTCCTAGCTTTACCATTACCTATGTGCAAACTCATGTGAATAGGAAAAACTTAAATACCGTATTTACTCGAATCTAATGCGCCATTGAGTCTAATGCGCAACTTCATTTTTGAAACCTGGAAGCTAAAAAATGTTTTTGCTAGCAAATGTAATCTGCATTAATACAAGAAGATACTACTATACAACCTTGTGCTACAATGAAAATGTTTCTTGCCATATACCATAGTAACACTGATTGTATTTCAATGTTATTGTTACATGTTAAGTCTATTCTTTCTTAAACCCTCTTTCACAAACTAAATTTGCCTGTGTGAATTTGCCAGAATGAAATTCGCATGTTTTAATTCACCAGTTTTAACTTACCTGTGTTAATTCATCTGTTTGAATACACTAGTTTGAATTTACCAGTTTTAATTCGCTTGTATGAATTCGCCAGAAATGCCATTTGCCAGAAAATTTAGAAGTTTGCCCCAAATGCATTGTCATCGAATCTAATGCGCATTCAAATTTTGGAAACGTTATTTTCCAAAAATGTGTGCATTCAATTTGAGTAAATACCGTATATCGACCAATAGGAGATACGTTGGAGGGTGGAGAATGCAAGGAGATCTAGGAGGCAATCTCCAAATTCTCTATATGTGTGACCACACAGGAGCAATCGTTAAAGACACTATTTCACTGGCATCCTATGCTGGTAAAACTGTTTCGTATGAGAAAGATGGACTCGAATATGTGTTAGAGACTGTGTAACACAGAATCCCTTATTACCATATATGGTGTACATGCCCAAAGATGATACTATTCTGGGAAAAAGTTAATAACTCAAATTTTCCCAAGGTCCATTCTACTAAACCCATGGGTGTATTTACTTACTAAACCCACTGAAGCTCTCAATACCCACGGAAAAAAAAACTTTCAGCAGAGTTTTACTAGCAGCCCAAAGGGTTCTTGGACAACAATGGCTAAAAGATCAACCTCCCGGGATACACAAGGTAAAAGAGAATTGTTTGATGGCTGAAATTAACAGCACAAGTTAGAAACATCAACAAGTGTAAAAAGAATATAAAATAAAGTAAAATAAAATATAACTTTAGGCCCTATGCATTTTGTCCTACACCTAGGACTTCCTCAGAGACCAAATATAAACAATTTAAAACAATGCATAAAAAATAAGCAGCTGTATAAATAACCCCTTTATTGGATAACGCAGCATAAAGCCCTCGCTGGAAGTGACATCATAGAAGATCATGGATCCGGGAAAATCAATTGAAGACTGAAAACACCCACTGAACCAATAGAGCAGAGGACTGACCATATAAATAGGACTTGGGGTGGGGGTATTTATGCTGTTTTATCCTGTCTAGAGATTGTTTATACTGCTGCAAATTTTTTATGCATTATTTTAAATTGTTTTTATTTTGGTTATTGAGGAAGTCCTAGGTGTAGGACGAAACGCATAGGACCTATAGTTATATTTTATTTTACTTTATTTTATATCCTTTTTACACTTGTATGAAATAAAGCAAATTTTTATTTGGATCATATCTGGAGTCCTACCTTCGATATTGGTGTGACAGCTGCCATCAAAGAGAAGAGGATTCACTGGATTAACTGGATTAACCCCCCGTTATACTACGGGGAGGGACCCTAAGGTGATATATAACAGTCTTCATCCTGTGTAACTCTGCTAGCGCATATATTGCACTTTAAACTGTATTAAACTATAGTACTATCTATTTTTGTAGCTCTACAGCTGTATGCTTTATATACATTTGTTTGGTCACTTTACCAAGTAACCATGTGAATCTCTGTTTAAAAAGAAACACTAAACCTCTGAGGCAGTAATTGCTTCAAGGTTAAACTTGACCTGTGAGAAAAGACAAAACGCATGTTGAACACCTGAAACTTTTATAGTTCCAAGTCATAATACAATGTTTAAAGACAATGAGATGGAGCAGAGGTTTTAGGTTCACTAGGAACAAAGCTCTGGCAGGTAATCTAATGACATTGTTTTGCTTTGTTTTTCTTAAAAGATCATATATTTTAGGTGTGAGGATGATTATTTTTTGATTGTTGTCCAAGGTATTAAGTTTGACTTTTTTGACTATACTTGTAGCAAGTCTATATGTGCTCTCCAATGGCTATCATTAATAGCCACTGCTTTCTTCTCCAGAAACGTGCAACAGTTGTTCTAATACTTATAAAGTATTGTCCTTAAAGTTCTTATTAAGTCCATAAAGTATAGATGTTATAAAAACGTCTAAATATTTAAATGAGCAAGACAAATTTTAAAAAGTGTTTAATTATTATAATGAAATTGATTATTAAATTGATTCCCCTTCTTTTGCATATGATTCATAGAGGTACTGTACTTCTCATTTACATTTTGAGCATGATGATGTCATGTGGCCCTACATAAGAGTGTTGCATATGAGTACCACATTGAAGATAATGAAATGTACTACAATTTAAACAAACAATTAACCAATATATTAGTGATTTATTATTGCCAGTATTCGATCGATTTTTGATCTGATTACGTGCAAAAATGAAGCGTCTAGTTTTTTTGCCGTTGATGCAGCTGCAAAAATGAAACCTGGGCTTATCTCTTGACATTCTGGCTAATCTCGAGTTCTTGACATTGATATGCTGGGATTGCGAGTCTAACAACAAACCAAGTGTGGGCTTTGCAATTAATAAACTGGAGCATATCAAAAGCAGTAGTGATATTAGTTGACGTGTGGCACTAATCTGCTGTATTTTATATTGACGTGTGTGTGTGTTTTTTTTTTAAACATGTTCACAGCAGACAGTTTAAGTATAATAGACATGTGGACGTCCTGTGTTATCGATTTGCCTAAATGATATCACTGTGGCAATGCTAATTTGTCCTTTATTTACTTTAACTGATCAGCCATGAACAGTTTGTATGGGTTTGTTGACTTTGCTTACAAACTTTATCAACCTAGTGAGGTTTTTCGATTGTGATTCTGATTATGCTCAAGACCACTTGGTAATGTTTAGGGTATTAGATATATTAGGAGTGTTTACAGTGATTTTACTTCTAAGTCCTTTTGGCTGTTGAATTTAATGATGGTCCAATGGCTCTGTTAAAGTGTCAATAAATTATCTTTGATAGACTGTAATAGCTTAAAGGGACACTGTAGGCACCCAGACCACTTCAGCTCATTGAAGTGGTCTGGCTGCAAACTCCCATCACCCTTAACCCTAGAGTGGTAATAATTGCAGTTTTTATAAACTGCAATAATCACCTGCTAGGGTTAACTCCTCCTCCAGACAGCAACTAGAGGGACTTCCGGATTCTTAGACAACTTTCGCTTGTCTAAACGACACTGGACGTCCTCACACTCGTTGGAATCCCCATAGGATTAGCATAATTATTGTCCCATGGAAGTTGAAACTGAAAAATTATCCCACTTGGCTAATTTTCTATCCTGGCTATTGTGACCTACATTTCCTACTGCATTCCTAAGAATTCACAATTTGGTGAATAACTCTTTCTGTGTGTGAAAGTAACATTTAGCTTGTGGAATAAATTGCTCTGGATATTAGGGGTTCTCACTTTCTGGGAAAATCAAGTAATGCAACATGACTCTCCCTAAATCATCCATATATTATGTACATTTTTGAATATAATTGTAATAGAACCATTCATGTTTAAATATGTCTTGCCCTATGTGTAGTTTACAATGTATTTGCTTCATTCTGAAAGGAGAGGACATTACACGTAGATGTATATATAAATACATTTATTAATCTGTCACTGAGAAAATGATTAACAGACTAAACACGTTACATGGAAAAAAAACACTGAGGGTCTAAAAGCCCCCTCTTGTGTATAGATGTAAAATTACAATGCTGGAGGTTATACAAACTCAATGTTTAAATCACATCAGCCTTCATGTAATGACATAAATATGGTTACATTTTATAGAAATAAATTCACATTAAGCGTTTGAATAGCTCAGACTTACTTTGAAAATATACAGAACATGTGCCATATAACACCGAAATTAGTAGCGACCTCTAGGATTTACCTAGAAAAAGAAGAGCTTATTAGTATTGGGGTACCATGGTAACCCTACCTTTAAAGAGTTTAACAGTGAAATGTGGTGTATTGCAAAACAATTGGGCAAAATTTTAGACGAGAACCATTGTGTGTGAAATGTATTTTCTAATCACAGCTGATTTGTAAAAACATACAATACCATGCATTTCTTTCTTATTTATTAATAGATGATGTGCAGATTCCCCAATGCAAGGAAAAAATAAAAATCAAAATGTGATAATGGACATGACACCAATGTAATGAGGACTAATGCCCATAGATTACATGCAGGCTGTTACTGAATGAGTAATTAGTAAAGACAGGAACAGTGGATGTAAGAGACACATTCTGAGCGTGTTCATGGATCTGATGCATACAGAATCAACGTACAAGTACATGTATGTTACCACATCAGTAAATGGATGGGGTTAATTCTGGAAAGGTCCAAGACTTCTCATTGCTCTAGGCCAGGGATAGGCAACCTTTGGCGCTCCAGATGTTGTGGACTACATTCCGCATAATGCTCTTACACCCATATTGCTGGCAAAGCATCATGGGAGGTGTAGTCCAAAACATCTGGAGAGCCAAATTATTGCTCTAGGCAAACAATAACTTCCTTTAAATAAATAGTTGTAGTACCTGGGACAGAAGAAACTGACACTCCAGGTAGCCATGTGATTCATCTATATAAACCCACAAGTAATAATTGTTTTAACATCGCTGTAAATAGCTGTAACAACATGATAGGATGTTAGGAACTTGTTACATTATTCGCATTCATACCTAAATAATTTTCACAATTATCTTCAGACCCTAACAATCTGTCCATTCACCTTGACACTTTTTTAATATATTCATTCATCTTGATACCTAGAGATTGTAGGAACTCCGAGCAGGGTCCTCATTAACCTATTGTTCCTGTAACAGTAATTGTCTCATTGTTAAAGGGATACTAGGCATCAAAACAAGTTCAGTTTAAAGGGTTAATCCAACCACCATAACCACTTCAGTGATTTGAAGTGGTCATAGTGGTTGGAGTCAGTATGTACAGTGTTTCAGCAAACATGATATTGGCAGCAAATACTACTTGCATAAAATATGTCTGTCGTCAGCACGCACTGCACACTGCCGACAAATCTTTACTTTGTTTTTTTTTGTTTTGTTTTTTAAAACTAGCTCCTCTCCACTCCCTTCCCTCCCCTTAGCTGGCCCGGAGTGTGCACATGCGCTCTGAGCTGACTAAATGGTTAATCATAGGCTTCTCTATGAGAACCCTAAAATAGAATTGTGCGCGGCCCCCATGATTCCAGAGGGGGCACGGAAGACCAGCGCCATTTGCTTAGCATGCTGCAGGATTAAAGGTAAGTAGAACCTGGTACTTCAGGTTAGACAGCAAATTGAGAGGAAGGACCTTCTCCATTGTAGCCAATAAGGCATATTACACTGGAAAAGTCCCCCCCTCAAAAATAGTTTAATGCAACAGTTTTAGTATATAGATCCAGCCCCTGCTGTCCCACTGCTAAATTCGCTGTCATTTAGGAGTTAACTCACTTTTGTTTCTGTTTATGCAGCCCTAGCCACATTTCCCCTGTAAGTCACAAAGTCTCCACGGGAAAAAAGTTGTTAACTTACTTAAGAAGTCTTTATGTCCTGCTCTGTAAAGTATTGTTATTGTTGGCATTTATATAGTATCAACATATTCCACAGCACTTTACAATATTGTAAATTTTACTTTAGTCAAACACAGGAGGCTCCTGCAGGCTCTAGCAGGCTATTAACAGAAAAACAATAAGAAGTTCTCAATCAAAAAGAATGTGCAATAAAGTAAGTTTACACATTATATCTCTCTTTACAGGAAGTGTTTATGGAAGGCTGTGCAAGTCACATGCAGGGAGGTGTGACTAGGGTTCATAAACAAAGGGATGTAACTCCTAAATGGCAGAGGATTGAGCAGTGAGCCTGCAGGGGCATGTTCTATACACCAAAACTGCTTCATTAAGCTAAAGATTTTTTGGTGACTATAGTGTCCCTTTAAATTCCCCCCTTTATAATATTGTAAAGCGCTATATAAATGTCAATAATAAAAATTCAAATGCTAATAATCTGCTCATTCACTTTGACACCCTAATACTCTGTCAGTCCTGCATATGCAATCTGAGACCCTATGGAAATTGGAGACTATTGTCTTCAACCCATAATAACATTTGACTGCTGCTACCGTCTGTCAAAATAATTTTTCAAAAAGAGTTAATTTGCTCCTTAAAAATTCAATTAGTTTTTAAAGTAATATTTAAAAACACATTTCATTTCACTGATAGAATATCTAAAAGAGGATCAGTTTCCAGGTACACATGACCATGAACAGAACATATAAGGCTCATCGTCTAAAACTTTTTAGACTTTATTCAATAACCATCAACCGGTAGTGAATTGAAAACCGTGACCATTTTAATTTAAATCTTGCAATTTAGTTTTCAAGTCACTACAATTCAGTGTTTTGCTTTTTTCATAGACTCCTGTTTTTCATGCCCTCAGCTAATAAATATTAAACATTTTAAATGTGCTCCTATAATAAAGAATAACAATCTATAATCTTCAGCAGAATATTTTTTTACATTTTTTGAAAGCATAGTATAAAAGCTAAAACCGCACTCATATTGTATCAATGTATGAATGCGGTTTCAGCTTTTGTACTATACATGGTTTGATTGCGAAACACGGGAATCGGCACTGCTAGTGTCCATCCAAGTTAACTGGATTGCGTGAGTACATCATTACATTATTTATTATTCCACTTGTATAATATATTTTCTTGGAGTTAGCGGCATATATATTTTCTTTTCTATTTTTTTTTTCTTAAATAGCCACATGCCCCTTGATTCTTAATGCTTGCCTTTCCAAATCAACTAATCTTTCCATATTTCCTGAGACATCTGCTCATTAACCCCTTAAAGGGACACTATAGTCACCTGAACAACTTTAGCTTAATGAAGCAGTTTTGGTGTATAGAACATGCCCCTGCAGCCTCACTGCTCAATCCTCTGCCATTTAGGAGTTAAATCCCTTTGTTTATGAACCCTAGTCACACCTCCCTGCATGTGACTTGCACAGCCTTCCATAAACACTTCCTGTAAAGAGAGCCCTATTTAGGCTTTCTTTATTGCAAGTTCTGTTTAATTAAGATTTTCTTATCACCTGCTATGTTAATAGCTTGCTAGACCCTGCAAGAGCCTCCTGTATTTGATTCAAGTTCAATTTAGAGATTGAGATACAATTATTTAAGGTAAATTACATCTGTCTGAAAGTGAAACCAGTTTTTTTTTTTTTCATGCAGGCTCTGTCAGTCATAGCCAGGGGAGGTGTGGCTAGGGCTGCATAAACAGAAACAAAGTGATTTAACTCCTAAATGACAGTGAATTGAGCAGTGAAATTGCAGGGGAATGATCTATACACTAAAACTGCTTTATTTAGCTAAAGTAATTTAGGTGACTATAGTGTTCCTTTAAAATTATATTGTTATGTTTTATAAAAATTTATCAATAAGAACTATTTGAAAAGAACGAAGCGTGCTTATTTATGTGTATTGCTGTTTAGAGATACATACTAAATTAGGCACAATTCTGAAACAAGAAAACATGGATTGTTAAGAACAAAACCGGAAATAGGGAGAAAAGAAATGGTTTTAAAATGAAAAGAAGGAAAGATGGAAGAAAAAAGAATGGAGAAAAGAAGGGAGAAAAAATAAAGAAAGAAAGGGGAAGGAAAAAGAGAATAGGAAAGAAAAAATGAATAGATATGTTTTCTACTACCTCTTTTAAATGCATATTTATGCCTAATTTATAATGTATTTTGTACTATCTCCCTTTTTTTGTGAAAACATAAGTGAAAAAAAAAAAAAGAAACTACCATTTCCCAACTGGAAAAATATATTTTTTTTAAAGTAAGCAGCACATTGTGGAGAATTTAAATACAATGACCTCAGCTGCCCTGTCTTTATCACAATTCCCTTCATTGCAGTGTTCTCGCCCTTCCTGAGTCCTGCAGTGGGGCTACGCCAGCTATCTCCACAGACGAGGTTGGTATAAGCTGATAGAAATTTACACAGTGGTTTGCAATAAACAATTCAAGCAAAATAAACTGAACAGCGCAACACAATAAATGCTTCACGAGGTTTTCCCAAATTCAACTGAAAATGCAAGTTTTGTTTAAAGGACCACTCTAGGCACCCAGACCACTTCAGCTTAATGAAGTGGTCTGGGTGCCAGGTCCAGCTAGGGTTAATCTTTTTTATAAACATAGCAGTTTCAGAGAAACTGCTATGTTTATAATAGGTTTAATCCAGCCTCTAGTGGCTGTCTCATTGATTTTCACAGTGAGAAGACGTCAGCGTCCATAGGAAAGCATTGTGAATGCTTTCCTATGGACTGGCTGAATGTGCGTGCAGATCCTGCCGCGCATGCAGCCGAAGAGGAGAGGAGAGTTCCCCGCCCGGCGCTGGAGAAAGAGGTAAGTTTAATATAATACTCACCCTAGAGCCTGGCGGGAGGAGGGGGTCCCTGAGGGTGGGGTCACCCTCAGGGCACTATAGTGCCAGGAAAAACGAGTACGTTTTCCTGGCACTATAGTGGTCCTTTAAGTCTGCAGGACACTGCCATTCCATCGACAGTTTTATGTTTTTATCTTATTTCCTCTTTATTAAGCTTATTTTTTTTTCTATCTAAATGGTACAGAAGGAAGACTAGCTAATCCTTCAAAACAACTCTCCTTTCTTCATCGTAGAATATAAATTCTGTCCATAATCCAGATTATATACTTGGTGTGTGTACAGTTCATGTGTGGCATTTCCACACAATTTATTTCTTGAATTTAGCTCCATATTTCCTAAAACACAATATCAAGTAAACAACATCTGCTACTAACATAAATGTTCTTATTTTTAGACATACATAAAAGCCAAGCTTAGGCCTTCAGGTAAGGCACATTCTTGAAGACTGCGGTCTCATTTATGTTCACTCACGCTCATCCAAAGGGAAAATCATCACTGCCTCAGGTAAGTTACTGAAGGGGTTTTCACCCCTTCAGAAACCGGGGATTGAGGAGTGGGAGAGAGAGGGGACCTGCAGTGCCAGGAAAACTGGTTGTTTTCCTGGCACTGGAGTTTCCCTTTAATCCCTTGAGTTCATTTTGTATGAAGTATGCACTATAAAAAACAAACAGAACTAACGTGTTAGAACTTTTCATTTGAAGTTTAGTTTTTTGGTTTTTTTTGTTCTTACCTTCAAAACAAATCCTTCAGGACAGGCGTGGTCATACTTGTAGACCTTATAGACTACCAGGAACACAACGCAAGCTAGAAAAGCCAAGGCGAACAGGACAAGGACGGTGACCTATGAAAAAAAAAAAAGGAAGAAACTCATTAATTCCATGCAAGGAAGAGCTGGAGGTTCTTGCACACAAACATAGAATGAGGTTCCCAATCAGTGTCAACTAGAGCAGATTTATCAACATAGATTGGTTCTAATGCTGTGAATCGAAAGGTCTGTCAATTTCGGATTTACGGATACATATTTTATTAATTATGAGATTAAATAAATATATATATACACATACACACACACACACACACACACTTTTTTTAAAATATCAAATGTAAATATTAAAACAATTCTCCACTCCCCCCCAAAAAAAAGAATAAAAAAAATACACACACTATAATATGTGTGTGTGAAATAAATATAAATGAAAATAGAAGTAAAAATAATTTATATTTAATTATTTTAATTTTTACTTCTATTTTCATTTATAGATTTCTGATTTTCTATTTTTGTTTCTTATTTTTTTCTCTTATTTATTAAAGTTTGGTTAAAAAAACAAAACAAGGGGGCGGAGCTGGACTGCCAAGGAAGCCAGACGTGCCCTGCAAGAGCTCCTGCATCTGGCCCCAATAAATCAAGATTTACACCCGGGCCACCCATCAATCAGACCAAAATAAGCACTCATATTGCCAATGGGTCTTCGGTGCACCGGAGGATACTCGTGCGCCTGTCTGGAACCAGTACGTCCTGATAGTGGCCAGCGGCCTACACAAGCCTGAGCTCCGGAGAGATGGCCGCTCTCCGAGCTCCTTCATTTACTATGTGGTCCCGGTGAACAAAGCTATCTTCTCCCCACCCCCCCCTGGACCGGTGGGGGTTATCCCAGTCTCCACTGGCTGGCACCTCTGTCGACCCTACACAGCTATCATACCATGATGCCTGATTGTGGCTGACTCACCTAAAATGGCGGCCAGGTCTCTGCTCCACCAGCAGGGTCTCTGCTCCACCAGCCGGGTCTGAATCAGCCCATGGAGACACGAGGAGGTGCGGCTGAATATGTGCTGGAGCGACTGGATGCGACCTTTGCTGATTTCTGATTACACAACCACCCCCCCGCACGGCTAACAAAGCGAGAAAGCGCAAGAAGCCACAGCAGCAGGCAACGCTCTTCCGACAAGCCCAGCAGCATGGACGCTACTACCCACCTCGACCATGGAGATCCAGACTCCCTCGGCAGGAGCAGCATGACCCAGAGGTAGTCCCCTTAAGCTGCCTGGCACACAAGAACGTCGGCCCATGGAGGTCACCATCTTTCCTAGTTCGACGCCGCACACGGAAATAGCAAGAAGGGGAGGCAGAACCCGGTACCAAGCTACCTCATCAGACTTGGACTCTAAGTAGCATAGGCTAAGGGTCCTGTGTAGAATCATACCAAACCAAGTGTAGCCAGGGTATCAGCCAGCTTTACCTTGGTAACATGTTATAACTTTGATTGCATTCACTATTATTTTTATTTCCTTTGTTTAGAACACATGAGTAGTATTTTCACACATGCCTGTTATATGCTTCCTGTAGGCTTATTTCTGGTTTAAGTCTAGTGCAATTTGCAACCACTTATTCCCTGCCTAGCCAGACAAGAGATAGGATAGAATCAACCTGGCATATACTACGTTGTAAAGCCGTGTTCATACAATGATTGCACATGTCATGCTTCGTCTCTATGTCACTCCTCTGTTTACCCTTTCTTGACATGTGCACCTCGCTAACCCACTTAAACGAGAACCTAAACTATTGTAATACTGATCTCTCTAACATAAAAATGTGCCTGTCTAGCGAATGCCACAACTTGTATTGCAAATGTTCACCAATTCACCCTGATGTCGCTGTGGCGGCGTACCAAGGTTATTTGTTAATATTGTGCACAACAAAAATAAAGAATTTAAAAAAAACAAAAAAAAAAACACATTTGTTCAATTTCTTTTCCTTTTTCATCTCTTCCTTATATCTATTTCCCAATTTACTTTAACTTATAATAGGACCATACAAACATGTAACTTGTATTTATGCTGGGGATTCATAGAGTTCATTACCACCAAGGATCCACATTCACAATCTTTCCATTCTTATTTTTAGTATTGGTAATACTGATAAATTTTTATTTTATTTTTTTTAACCTAATTATGATTTTTTTTCCCCAATTATGCACATTCTGTATTGTATTATTGTCATCTATATATACATACATACATACACACACACACATATATGTTATTCAATATATGTGTCGTGGTTCTATTCATGTATTTTTACCTTTGTGTAAAACTTTTTGCTCGTTTTTAATCTTGTTATTATAAATTTTTGGAAGCTCACGCGGCAGTCTAGCCTGCAAGATCTTAGGAAGCACCTCTGAGTGAGAGGCAACCAGGACACAGTACGGAGTACAACTCCCACAGATCCCATCCATCTACAGGGTCGGACTAACAGGTTACCCTATATGCTTTTGAGCCCATCTTTTTTGCAGCTCGTTTTCTGCTCACACTAATTCTGTGAGTATTTTTAGATATTTTGGAATAAAATACTGAAAAAGTTACAGTGACATTATCATTTCTATTTTTCCACTTGGAGCAAATTCTGATACAAATCAAGCTACCGGTTTTCTCTGTACTGACTTGCTTTTCATTATATGTTATATTATTGTATCTTTCTTTGGAAAGTATATTATAATCTGTCATTGGGGTCACTATACTCTGTGTGGTCTTCACTAGCAGGGGAGTGACACTTGCTATATTACTGCAGATTTGCTGGACTAATTTTTGACTTTTTAAATCAGGATTTTTTCCTGGTTATTTATTATAACTAATTATATTTCTTTTGTGGACTTTAAATGAGGTTTATTAGCTATTTTCATTATTGTACTATAGTGATAGGTTTTTATATTCTCTCATTTGAAGCCTGCATTCTTTTTGGTTTAAAGCAACAGCAATCTCTTGGTTCTTTCTTGAATTTATTACTTTTAAAGGACACTATAGTCACCTGAACAACTTTAGCTTAATTAAGCAGTTTTGGTGTATAGAACATACCCCTGCAGCCTCACTGCTCAATCTTCTGCCATTTAGGAGTTAAATCCCTTTGTTTATGAACCCTAGTCACACCTCCCTGCATGTGACTTGCACAGCCTTCCATAAACACTTCCTGTAAAGAGAGCCCTATTTAGGCTTTCTTTATTGCAAGTTCTGTTTAATTAAGATTTTCTTATCCCCTGCTATGTTAATAGCTTGCTAGACCCTGCAAGAGCCTCCTGTATGTGAATAAAGTTCAATTTAGAGATTGAGATACAATTATTTAAGGTAAATTACATCTGTCTGAAAGTGAAACCAGTTTGTTTTTTATGCAGGTTCTGTCAATCATAGCCAGGGGAGGTGTGGCTAGGGCTGCATAAAGAGAAACAAAGTTATTTAACTCCTAAATGACAGTGAATTGAGCAGTGAAATTGCAGGGGAATGATCTATACACTAAAACTGCTTTATTTAGCTAGAGTAATTTAGGTGACTATAGTGTTCCTTTAATCCTCTGACTCAACCCAGAGTATTGATAATTTCAGCCTGATACTCTCAGTGTTTGCCTATTAAATAATTTGTAAATCAGGTCAAATAAGCATTTATGTCATTCTTACAATAAAGAGTTATCCACTAAACAAATGGCATGTACATTTTTTTTCCATGAATTGTTCTTACACATTTGTCTTTTTTCCATAACTCCTATGCTCCTTGCAAAATGAATTGTAGGGAGAGCTGAGTACAAGAGTTTTGTGTGAAAACAACACTGTGTCCTTTTTATACCAGTCATCTAATTAATTTCCCTTTCCTTCCCTCTTCATCATTTTATGAATAGCATTTTCATATTTGTTATCTGAAAATACCTATAAATAGAAAGGAAAATAAAAACTAAATTTTGTAATTAGATAACATAAAAAGAAGAATGATAACTACAGTAACAATAACTATAGCTTCTATTGCAATGTTAACAAACTTGCTGGAGGTCCATGGAAGGATTTAGTAATGTAGAGGATAATATCAGTAAGTTTGCTATAAAGTAGAAATTGTAAGTGTATAAATAAAATATCAATGAAAACGTTTGGATTTTTGGGGGGCCATTTAGGACTTTCTTTACACACAAAAAGATCCTGATAATCACTTGGGTTTACAATTTCAAGATTCAAGATTCCAAATCAATATAACCTCACCAGTTTACATTCTGAGAAACCACTGAACCAATAAGTGGCCACAATGAGGACTTATCCATTGCTGTCCTTGGTGTCTTACCAGATTGCACGACCCATAAATGTATGGTTTGGTTTCTGCATTAAAATAGAAATCTACTGTGAATAGCTGAGAAGGGAAAATTAAATGCATAACTTTTACTAGTGTCTTTGGCCAAAAAAAATCCAGAGAATGTTGATCGAGTTGAAAGTAATTGTGGTAAACTAATTACAGGGTTCTTGAAGGTAAAAAGAATGTTGTCCAAGTGAAAGCTAATTTTATAGGTTTCACTTTGGAACACAAATCCTTTAAGGTCCAGATGTTAGTAAATGGGTTTCACCTGTGTTTCTACTAGAAGCATAAATATCATGCAGGTCAGAGATTGGAATACTATGATGTGCCAAAATATAGGATCAGTATAAATATGTGGGAATTCAAAGCCTGAATTTTGTATCAGATTATAAACTGTTAATTAAACTACTATTGCCTCAAGGGTACTGAATAATAAATAATAAACATAATGATTCCCTAAGTTCTAAAGGTGTTATAGAATGGAACCATCACTCCCCTAATAATTACATAATTGAATAAATAATCTGTAACATGTTTAACCTTTTTCATGTAACGATCTGTATTCTTTTAAATATATATTAAAGATTTAGCAAGTGATATTACAATTCAGTTCAGTCAAGGCAAAACCAGGGCACCCATTGCATTGGAAAAAGAAATAGAAACATTGTTTCTCCTCCACTCCCTACGCCCTTTCTATGCTGCCTGACTGGAGCAATGGACATAAATTCTAACACTGATTGGCAAGATGTCAAATGCCGAGTTCCATGATAGAGCGGTATGCACTTTTTCATTCAACCTTTCAACATGAGACCTTACAAAAACATATATGTTAAATATATGCAAAATAAATAAACAACATTAACATCTTGAGAAGTGAGCGTTCCCTTTACAATTTCAAGACTGATGATTCATACTCGAGTATCTCTGAGTTTACTAATATTTGACATATTATTTCATTCTGACGATTTCGCCTAAACCAATGATCATCCTACAATATATAAGCCATTGGCTTAATTAACATTTGTGGGTTTCAGAGATAAATTTCTTTGAAAGTAAGTCTAGATGGCTTGTCCCAGAAGTGGTGTAACAAGTAGCAGTCGAAGCTAGGATTTGTTTTGTCTACTAAGAGTTTACCTTATTTTTAAAGTGATTATGTTTTAAGCATTTCTGAAATCACATCTGCATGGTCTCAGCAAGGTATTGACATTTATTTGGAAATAACTGGTATGTATAAGCAGGAGGAAGAGGGCATTTGCCTATGGGTGGACATTACAAAGATAATGAGGAAATATAAAATATCTACACTTAAAATGTACATTCTGTGTTTTATACTAACTATTTTAAATGGGTCCAGGAACAATTAGTCAATGAAATTAAGTGGTTAATCTACTATTATTATTAGTATTGCCATTTATATAGCGCCAACAGATTCCGTAGCGCTTTACAATATTTTGAGAGGGGGGGATGTAACAATAAATAGGACTATTACAAGAAAACTTACAGGAACAATAGGTTGAAGAGGACCCTGCTCAAACGAGCTTACAGACTATAGGAGGTGGGGTATTAGAAACATTAGGACAGGAGAACTAAACTAAACTGAGAACTATAGGAAATTCTGAAATTACTTTCACAATTCAGGTTAAAAGCTAAGGTTAACAAAAAAACTAAAACCTCCGATTCAGCTCTTGGTATATTATTATTATTGGATAATTTAGATTTATATCTTGCAAATTGTTTTTCAACCTACTTAAATTCACTGTATTTTACGTGATCCTGAAAATCGAAAAACAATTATGCTTTTCATCCACAGATGCATATTAAAGGACCACTATAGTGCCAAGAAAACAAACTCGTTTTCCTGGCACTATAGTGCCCTGAGGGTGCCCCCACCCTCAGGGTCCCACTCCCGTTGGGCTGAAGGGGCAGGAAGGGGGTTAAACACTCACCTTTCTCCAGCGTTGGGCTCCCTCGGTGCTGGG